AAACTTCAAACAGGAGATGGTTACAACAAGCATAAGCAAGATCTTGTAGTAAGTTCTCTGTTCTCCTTCCTAGTGTTTCATCAATAACCACCACACCACTGACTAGGGCTACACGCTTTTGGTGCCAATTATTAGCCATTTTTCTTTTGCTGCTGCTACATTTAAAAGACATTTTCATCAGTTCTGACTGACATAGGGAATACCTCAGTTTTTTAAAAATACTTTTATCGAAACTCAACACTTGAAATTTGAATTTAAAAAAAAAAAATCTTTCTTGGACTTCTCTGTTATTGCTGCAACAGTTATTTTCAGTTCCAGGTTTAAAGTAGTACTTTTTTTTTTAATCATATAAAGCTGCCATAAAAGTTTTTTTTTTTTTGTTTTGTTTTGTTTTTTTAAAGAGAAGCTTGATCTGAAATGTCTCTACTGCACTAGCTCTTTTCATTTGCTGAGGAGTTCTAGTGCAAACACATACTGCGTATTTATTTATACAGGAATTCTAAATAGGGAATGTTATATAAAAAGCAGGAGAGAATGTTTCATAAGACCCTCACTGTGTAAACGCCTATTTAATGATGTACAATTTCCCCCGCCGCAGTTTATATCCATGCTTTCTACTATTTGCAACAAAATACCATTAAGATAGTTATATATACACACATATTCCCCCCGTCCCCCTGCGCTGTGCTTTTGGTTACTTTCTGTATCAACTACTGGAGACATGCTCCACCCTCCCAGTAGATTATAACTGATCAAAACTGGAAGGTGTAGTACCTTTTCAAAAAGGTACAGTTTCCCCCTCGTGGATGAACCCCATAATGCAACTTAGAAAAAAAAAAGTGCTCAAGTGAGACTGCCTAAACATTACGGAATATTATAGGGAGACAGATTCCAAGATGACATTTAGGAATCTGAAGTTAGAGCTAACATACAGGAAGTTACACTTATTCCTTAACTACTTATCTATTGCAGCATTCATTAAAGTTCTCTCCTATGATATTTCAAAGCTTCAGTTTATGGTATGATGAGACAGGAAACAGCAAAGCTTTGAGCTTGTTCTTTATAGCTTCTCCTCAATATAGCACTGTTTCATACCTCAGCTCTTTGTTAAAATCATGCTAAGACAGCAAAATATCACTCTCTTCTAGCTAAAATGGACAAATGGCCTGTATTAATGTTCACAGTACCCTGGCACACCTGACTAATCAAAGCTGCAAATTTACTACAGAAATGGAATTGTTAAGCAGACTTGAACGAAGCAGTACAGATTCAAATAAGTTCGTCTGGGGTAGTTTTCTGCTCCACATGAAAACATATGGAAATCCCTAAGCTGCAGTAAGTGCTCATGAGTAAGGTTTAAAGTACTTATTCCAACAACATAGTTATGTTAAAGGCATTAGAAATAAGGGGGCCATCCACTGACAGTGATTCATGCAAAATAAACCTAAACTTTATTAAACAAAACAAAAAAAAAAAGGAAGTACAAAATATGGAGAGTGCTCACTGTAAAAAAATAAAGTTACTGAAGGCTCTAACCACCAACTGGTTATGAAGGTATGTAAGCCTCCCACCAGAGTACTGGAATGGCAGCGTTAAATCAGCACTGATGCTACCCTGAAGTAGCTGCCAAATCTGTATAGGAGCAGAACACCCCAAAACAAAGCATAACTAGATATACAACTTCAAAAAATGTACTTCTGAACAGAAGTTAACCTACAAGAATAATACAGCCTGATATACCTCTGTGTAAACGCTTAAAAGGGAACAACATTTTATAACCATTTACTGCATAATTTATTGCAGGCAGAATGTATAAAAAAAACCAAAATTGCATCTTTCTGGAATTGCAAGTCAAGCAGGTTTAAGAAAAACCTTGGGTTTATGTGCAATATTCAAATTAAAAAATTTAAAATCTCCCCCGTAACAATTTTGGTATACAGATGGGTTCTAAGGCTAGCCCTTTATCCCCACAGCATTTGCTTTGAGGTACTTCTTAGAAATTGAAGTTGCAAGAAAGAATATCAGAAATGACTCACTGCAATGAAACACTAATCTGCAGTCAGTCTTATTTTACGTGCTTCCAAGTGCAATTTAGGAGGTAAAAAAAAGAAAATACTAAGAAAACACATCAAAATGCTGTAATCAACAATGGCTCGTACTTCAATTACAAATATTTTCAGGGGGAAAAAAAAAAAACAACAGCTATTTGAAACCTCTATATTCTGGCAGCCCTACTACAGCATATCCATAGTCCATACTGCAAGTAGCTAATAAGGAAATTGTGTTAAAATGATTTGTTCCCCTTTAACATACTCATCAGGCGCACAAGCTTTCCTCAGAATAACATGCAGCTGAACTCCTCCTGTTTGTTGTAGAAAGCCCGAGCATTTCTTAAGTTTCAGGAAAGAAAGCTGGATCAACTGCACATACATTTTCAACTGACTAAAACATTCTTTAGGAAAAACAGCACGGACTTCCTGAACTGAGAACTAAAAGAAAGTGTTTTTCTATCAGTCTGTGTGGCAGTCTCACTTTTGACACATCTTGTGTCATATGAAAGATAGTACTGGATATATATCTCCCCAGGACACGCAACTCATTATGCAGGTGATGTCACCTCCTACTATTCCGAAGAGCCAGTTTTGCCTCAAGGAAGTTTGCTTTATTTACTGGCACACACAGTACCTTTGTCATTCCATTCTGATCCTTAAGAACATCTGTATAACACTGAACCCATATAATGAAAATGAAAAGGTATGAAGTAAACTAATTGTGTGCAGGATTTCTACAGCTTGTCTGATTCATTTTCCAGTCACTCCAATTTAGTAGTTGAATTTGAAAAGAATACATCACTTAAATAAAAATATGCCCCTTTTAAAACTGGCAGCTCCATCAACCTGAAAAAGGCTGAAGCACTTATCTACTGTATATTATGGTATTCTATAAAGAAACTCACTTTCATGATTCTACCTTTTAAGACCCTGCATACATTACAACAGTGCATTAGTGATACAAGTTGTAAAATACTTTTCGGTTCCTTTGGATTTGCATATGATGGTTTTTGCATCAGTCACTGCAGGTAGATTGAGCAAGCTTTGTTTTTGTGTTTTAACATGCATTCAACTAGATATGGATCAGAATAAATTTATACTCCCTTTTTATCATTATAATTATCTAAAAAAATTGCAAGACAGTCCACAAAACAGGATTTGCTTTAAGACTAACTGCTGGAGTTCCAAGATGTAAGATATGCAGCACTGGAAAATCTTCAGTGATCAGGAATTAGTAGTGTTTAGCCAAGTGTTGAAAGCATTCAGAAGAAAAGTCCTGGTTGGAGGCATGAGGGCTTCAGCACCAACTTTTAAACCTCAATTTCTTGATTGCATATCTCCCATCTTCAAACCTATGTTAAGAGGGAGGGGGAAAAAGCAGGAAATATTCTCAATTATATGAAACACTATTTGAGTGTGGCAGAGCATTCTAACACTGCATGCACCACTGATATGCACACACAACAAACGTTAAGTTTTGTATTATGCTACCCTAACACTTATCCAGTCACGAGAAACCTACTTCTGTGTTAAGAATTCACTACATCAGTTCTCTCCTGTCACGTCCATTCCAGCTTTCGGTCATCATTAGCTGTTTTGTCTTATGTAAAAGGTACAATATTAAAAGGTATTTTATGCTAAATTTGATTATCAGCTGCCATGAGTTTAGTCACAGCAAAACTCACTTGTTATGTAATATGTCATTCTTGGACAAAGTATTGTATGTGAAACATTTCAGATCTGCAGGCTGGTATGTAGCATCACAGCAAAGCGAGAAATGGCTGTTGCATTACTAACTCAAAGGGAATAGAGTCATCTGTAATCACAGAACTCTGGACTCTTAAGTGCTGAAACAGAAACCCAAAAGAAAGTTAACTTTGGTTTAACTTTCTCATAAACAGACTAAAAGTGGAAGTTCCTAATGCAGTTGGCCTGACAAGCCCTTATTTCAAATAAAGCAGTTCTCAATTAATGCAAAGTGAGGATCCCCAAAACATTAGGCTTTGTGTCAGTTTGACACATATTACGCCCCCAAAATCCATTCCACCTTATAGCAGATTTCAAAATTAAACTCCTTTTCTCAAAACCCATGATCAAAATTTTAGTCCACCATAGAAATGATCTTTCCATGCTGACTGCAAGAAGTATGAACTGAGACTTCCTTGAAACAGTGAATACATGAAATTAACTCAAGGTCGTGTATTTGTTTCAGCAGCTCATGAGAAAGATTCACCCTCAGAGCAAGGCAACACCACTTACCTTGCCTACATATTTAACCCATCAAAAATACGACTACAAAGTTACACACATTGCTTCACTCAGGAATCACAGCACTGCTGAATTTAACAATTACCAATGAATCCAAAACACTGCATACATTTAGTCCCAGATGTATTTCAATACGGCAAACTTGAGGCTCATTCTTTCATATCTGACAATCATGAACCACATACATGGTTTGTGACTGCTGAAGAAGTCCCACTAGGCTTCCCTCCTCTGCAGCTAACAGCTATTACATAAGCAATAATTTCTGTGTACTCTTACAGAATACTGTAGAAGTAGCCCAGACTCCTTACCTTCTGAAATACCACCCCGAAAAAACCTGCAATGCTGTCATTTGTAAGAAAGATTAATTGCTTTTAATCTAAATCGGTAACTTACACTGACTGCCAGGATGATCACCACTGTGGGGGCACATAACTATAGGTTGGTGTTCCTGGAGCCCGGTATGTGGGCATAGTAACTGGATGAGGGGCTACTGGAGTTGGGGAATGAGTTGTCAACAAAGTACCTAGGATGAAAAGAACATTTTTTCAGTAAACAGAAATTCTAGTACAGAAAAAGAAAAAAAAAAAAGAGAAAAAAGTTGATTTAAAAAACAATTACAGCTTGCTCATCTTCCTACTTAAAGTTACCACTATCATTTTGCACTCCAGCCCCAATCTTCCTTCAAACATTTATGCAAGAGAATAATTTTGATGTTTAGTCCAGTACACACACAGATACTCAATTACTCAAAAACAGCTCTAGCAGCAACCCTGCAACATAAGCGTTATTCACTGCAAAACCTTTTCCCACAGCAGGCTTTACATGCCATAAGAATATTTGATGGTGGAGATAACTTGACTGATAAATCAGAACAAATTAGTTCTTGTTTGCATTATTCCAGATAGGTTTTTACAGACTAAGGGGCTTCAGAAACAAACAGGCTGAAATAGCAGGATCTTAACAGTCCTACTCTATAGCGTCTTGTAGAAACAGTAATAACACCTGGGATAAGCTTGCCCACCTACGAAACTCCAACGTTAGCTCAGTTTGTGATGTAACTTCTCTAGTTTTGAGATTCCTCAATTAAATTATCAATGTGACAACATAAAACCCAGAATCTGAAAACAAGCTCATGGCGCTCTGTTTTTAGATTACCGAATTGAGCATCCTTTGAGTGAATGTGGACATTTCTTCATGAGTTAACACCCACTGAGTAACAAAGCATGACACCCCCTCAGTAAACACTCACAGATGGGCCTAGATATTGGTTAAACAACATTTTTCTCCAAAACACTACCGCTAAAAGAGTGTGGCATTAGGAAACAGACATCCCTAACCATTGCCCAATGTACAGAAAGGCTGCAGGTAGTGCAAACACATGAAGTGTTACATCTCAACATACAAAGATGATCAGAGATATGAGGGGTGGGCTGAAAACACTGCATTTTCCTCAGCCTTAAGAGGTTGCTGTTTTCAACTAGGCATAGAGAAATGTATTGAGAAGAGCAAGTCAGACTCTTGGCACTGGTAAGTTGAGAAGCAAAGGATGTAACAGTAAGTGAAATGCCATACAGATACTATTTTAACATAATATTTTACAAGAACTATTTTACCATAATACTGGTATCTAAAAAGAGGATGTGGTATCTCCAATCCTTAAGAGATGACCAAAACAATCACTGAACAAGTACACAACCTGATCTAACTGGGCCCACTCTGAAGAATGTTCCTTCTAATCTAAACAATTTTATGATTCTGCCAAGTAGACCTCTAGCATCACACTTTTGTAATGCAGCTGTGTTCCATCTCGACTGGAGAGATTCATCAAGCTAACGTAAGAGTAAGTTCACATACCTGCTGACATTGCCATAGTAGTCCCAGCCACCATCCCCATAGTCACACCGTTTCCTCTTGGTGGCGGAATCGGAGCAGGATACATAGTTGCTGGCATGCCGTTGGGCTGCACAACTGTGGTGTGGTGAATTACGTGGGGTGGTGCTGCATATAAAGGCTGTGTGTAATAAGTGCCTTGCTGTGAGAGGGAAAAAAAAGTAAATTAAGTAATTATAGTATATCTGGTGGGGAAGATAAATGATGTCTTCTTTCACAAGTGTACTGTAAAGTAAAAGCATTACTCTAAAGATGCAGTGTATTTACAGAGCAGAAGCCAAAACATCCTATTAGTGTTTCACTGGCAAACTTTTTAACATTTAGCCCCTTCTTAAGGCATTGGGATAACATCCTATTTTTGTAGAACTCCAATGCTGACTGTACCTTCAATAAGGGCTCATTTGTCATTCACTCCCTTCGTTTCGTATCTTTTCATATATTAATCCATGACAGAACTTCTCTCATTGCGTCACAACTTTAATCAGCTGCTTTTAGTTGAAAAACTAAAACATTTGTTTTTGACAAATCCAAATACACAAAGCGGACTGCATAAACCTTGTTACATGCTTATGAACTTCCTTCAACTACTGCATACATGCCAGGCAAGTTTCCTTTATACAAAAAGGGGGCCAACTTTTCCCCAAAATATGTTTACCAGAGTGTCTTAATTCTTTCCTTTCTAATAGTTTTTAACTGTTTGCCTCATGAGAGGCAAACATTGCCATATGAGACTTGGTAACTCCCTGAATCGCAACAGAAGCTTCCTAAAAAATAAAATTATTGCAGGTTTATGACAATTTTTGACAAAATGAAGTCAGGATGTGGTAGTTATAGCATCCAGCACACATTTTTAGAACTACTCAACCTAGTGATCTACTGTCTCCTTCAAAGACTGAACACATTATCAGTAAGTGCAGAGTAATTGTCATGCGAGAAAGAGAAGTGCACACACACACACACTCTGTAAATCACTGTTTTAAGAATTCCTACTGTAGGCAGCTAGAAATTCTCTCCATCCATAAAGAAATAAATGTGATGTAAAGTTAAGAGTTCAAGCAGGTATTGCAAGGTAAACAAAATACCACCCAAGGAGACAGTTTTTTGGTTTTGTTTATTTACCTGTGCATATGGATTCTGCTGTGGATAGGCACTTCGAACTGGGTACACAGCAGTCTGATAGGGATTCGGTGATGAGGAATATGGTGGCACTGCTCCACTGGTGGGTGAACAAGATACTTTATATGGGGTGCCTGGTGTATAACCTGAAACAAAGGTAAATCTGCATTAAAAACATGAAAAACAGCTGTCAGTACACTGCCTCCTAAAGTCAGCAGTAACAATTTTTACACAAGTACAAGTTCTATCATTTACATAATGCTTATAACAGCCTGGACATAACACTTGACTGCTCCGACTGAGCATGAAAAATTAACTGTATTTTTGTACAACTTACTTTTCAAATCTATGGATATGGGATAAAAAAGTGGATTTGGATTTTTGTAGTGGTTATCATTAAATACTTGGACTCAGCATATTAGGCAGCATTCCCACCTAGGAAGATTTGGCACATGTTAGTATCAGTCCAGTTCTCAATGCATCCCAAACTGTACTGGCAAACATAGTAACAGTTAATTAACCTGCCCGCTACCTTCTGTAGAAGGTGATACAGCACAAGAAAACTAATTTCAAAACTCAGATTCATGTAAAGTGCTCAAGATGGATTTTCAGAGAACAAAGAGACACAATCTGCAACCTTTACTTCAACTTACGTTTATTCACGTTTGTTTTCTGGCATTTTCTGAACTGGTCAAAATAAATATGAAAGGCCATACCTTTAAAACACAAGCACTGCAGAGTTCATTGCAACTGCAAATTACACTTTAAAGGCACTTTCGTATCTTTAAATCTCCTTTTAGTGTATTACATGTATAGGCATACCCTTAATCATCACTTAAGAATTATTTTTACACATTACTTCAATACATTACATGAGACTTCAGATGCCATCAGAAAGAATTTTGCATTCCTGTTACAAGGCCCCCCACATCAGTCTGCCTTCTAAATGGTGGGAACCGTTCAATTTTTACAGGGATAAGTAGCAACTGCTGGCTCAGACCCTGTCTAAAGACAGTACTTCTGTAATTCCTCCAGCCCTCATCAGACAAGCTCTCAGGATAACAGAACAAGGGCTTGACAAGGCATGCAGGAGATCTATGAAAAGCACCATTGCTGCTGCTACACTCCCACAATTATACTATGGCTTAATGGCCAGAGTGGGAATACAAATACCTTAGCAGCAGCATCCACCAGTAATGGCATTTAAGGTAGTAAACAACAGGCATGGCCTATTCTGGAGAAAGCATTAAAGGCCCTAGCCCATGCTATGCTGGAAAGATCTTGGGTCTCATGCAGGTCCAACCACACTAGGAGACGAAACATCCACAGATAAGATTTCTATTTAGTTGGAATTGTACAAACTAGTACTGGTGCAACACAGGAAGAAAACACACTTGGTAATTATAGAAAAAAAATTAGACTACCAGAATAGAGATTAGGTTGACTTTAAAAGCTGTCTAGAACATGCTGACTTCAATACAGAGAACAGATCTGAAGCCATATAGCAGAGAGAACACTGGCATTTGTGCTGGGAAAAAAAATCAGTCTGTGCAGACAGCACGATGACTGATGACCCTTATTCTTTTTGCAGAAGTTTGAGTTTCTTTCCAATTTCACTTCACCCTTCAAACTGAAAACTGCTATGTTAATGAAGAAATAGGTTTACTATGGTTTTATTCTGAATAGAATCTATCACCTTTAGAGACACAAAGAAAGCTACCACAGCACTTATGCGGAACTCTTGATTTTAGAGATCCTAAGTATTTGACGAATAGAGCATGCTGAGGAAGTAACTTCTATTTCTACTATGGGGAGCTATTTGTGTTGAAAAACTCAGCTACAAAACGCTGAGCATGAAGCATCACTACTGAACTGCTACTATGTACTCAATCAAGCCCTCTCATTCTCAAAATGCGCTGATACAGCTGCAAAGGCAATTTAACTATCATTCTTGTGAAGTGGTACATCTGTACAGGAGGTATTCTGCCTTCCCACTTATTTTTTTTCCTCCCTTACAGAGAACAAAGACCTTAAAAGTAAACCACATGGTTATTCAAAAAACACAGAAATTTAAGAAAGATACCTGTAAAAAGGTACACTTTCTGAACAGCAGTGTCATAGCATATTCAAACACTGCTGCGTGATGTGAATTTACAAAAGCTTTGAATCTACAAACAAGCGGTTACATCAGAAACATTAAAAAGAATAAATCCCAGCTGTTAGGACAAATTACTTCAAGTTGTTACCTGCCTGAATTAGAAGATCTGGACATTCAGAACTTTAGTTCATAACTTAAGAGTAACTTAAAATTAAAGCTATTCTTAGTTCTGAAATAAAAGTTTATTTTCTATTCAACAGCAATAAAGACTTCAATAGTACTAGCTTTAAAAAAAAAGTAAGGACATTCAAAGATGATATACAGCTTCTATATATGTCTTTACTCCTTTTTCATACAAAAGTGAAAAATTTCTTACTTTAATTTTGTTGTACAGCATGAGATCAGTGAATGCAAACTAATATTACAACACAATTAAGTCTAACAAGTCAAGAATCTTCCCCAGAAACCATAAACTTCTACTACAGCATCCATAACTGACACAGAGGAAAAAACCCAATTAACCAGATAAAAACAAGCCCACATAGGGTTTCGATTCCCATGCTTAGAGCTATACCACTGATGGCAACTGCTCTCCCTTGAACATCACTCAAAAGATTTCTTAAGCAACCCAGTGCAAATGCAAGCTGGTACCCCTAGATATGACACTTGCACAGAAGCAACCCCCATCTAAAGGATAGATTTTTTATTTTTTTTTTAAATCACTGGAACTTATCATATCCATCCATTTCCCCACCTTAAGTTCAAGACCAAAGACAAGCCAAAATCAGTTCTGTCCTCACTATGCCTCTAAGCAGCAAACTGAACAGAGACACCGGTTGTACCAACCAGAAATACTCCACAGTTCCAAGGAAACCTGCACAGCTACACACTTTTAACAGGTTCTGCAGGCAAACGTTTTAGATGACTTTCTCTCTCTTGCTGCACTAATTGCTGCCACACCCTTTTAAGAGTCTCCTGGCAGTTAATGAAATGCCATACATTACCAACATTGAACTTCAATACTGCAAGCAGGCTTCCATAACGTAAGCTTTCCAATTTCAAGCACCATCCTTTCCTATCCCCGAAAGTTACACGAGGGCACTCAGGGACAAATGTGGTTATGTGCCACATGTACATCTGAAAAACTAGCAAGTGAAAGAGCTCCTGAAGATGGCACGGATCTACATGAACAAAGCAATGTAAGGAATTCCTTAGTATGCAAAATAACCACAGGGAGAGTACTGTTCTAGCAGATGTATGTTGCTGGTTTAAGTGGAAATTAAATGCCACCAGCTGCCATTTTGTTATTATCTTCTATTAGTGAAAGCAGAACTACATGAAAGCAACTTAAGTGAGTGCTTTTCGTTTCTCTTGTGTCTGTTTTCCTATCTCCCTTTTCCTAGGCTCACCACATTCCCTTTCTCTTAAATGACAAGCATGCAAGTGCAGTTACCTAAAACCTCCCACAGTATCTGCTATGGACAAAAAACAGTTTTACCCAGCAACCAGGCTTTCTAGACACTTAGTTTATGCAAGACAATTTTAAAGGCAGAAAGAAGGCAGCGAGCTGAACTTGCAAAGGTATGATTTAAGAAAAGGATGAAAAAGAAGAATTTTGAAGACAGAAGAAAAAACAGGAATCTGGAAACAACCATTAGGATGCAAAGCAAGCAGAGTCACAAAGGAAGCCGTGAAGGGAAGTGCGATGCAATCCTCAAGCATCAGCCTGAAATAGAGAAACAGCAGCTAAAAACTCAGCTTTTCCCTTCTCTGAAGGCGAAAGTAGTATGACTTAAGACAAGATTATACTCATTTGAATTTATCAGATGAATCCTTATGAGTCATAGTCAAAGTAATGTAAAACTTATCCCACAGTATGTTATTGTAAGCCCCTACAGCTTTTCCTCATTCTTGTTTCTAACAACTTCCAAACTTCAGGTTATTGCTTTGACATACCTATTACACATACCTGTTTGGAAGGTAGGATTTGCTCCAGGATACATATTAGGGGAATAGGCAGGAGCAGCCGCTGCATAGCCCATCGGGAAGCCAGCTAGAAGAAAGAGTATGTCAAAGTTATTTTCTAGACTGACTGCACAGTCTAACCAAACTTTACTCTCAAAGGTTCTCGCTGTACAGCTTTTGAGATAAACAAACAGTTGGCCTTCAATCACTCCTCCTCAACTAGAACACCGGGCTCCTCTTCTCCCAAGCCACCTGAAGCTGAATGCTAGATGAAAGGAACAGCGAAGAAGTCATAAGCACCATTCTCTCTTACATACCTGTTTCAGCAAATCTCCCAAGTTGGACAACAAAGTTTTGTGCAACTATCCAACCCTCCTCCCCTGCCAAGTTTTAAGACCTGATGTACATAAAATATTTATCTGAGTGACTGACTCTCCTGATCAGAGATACCCCATGAAAAGAGTACAAAGCAACCTTGGCTAGTCCAAAATGCTTGTTGCATTTGACACAGATTTGTTACTACACTCGGGTGTCAAACAAGCTCCCCAGTTTCAGGCAGGTACTATGATGGGTAACAGTAATAAGTGATTCACTGAGGTATTGGCAAAGTGATAGGTAAACACTTCTACACCAGAACACAAGAACCACTATGGCTGAACAAATGTCATGATACACCAGTCTGCAACATAAGGTGAAAAACAGCATTAGCAAAAGCTACAGTTACTTGAAAGATACAAAGTTTGTTTAGATTGTAATAACTGAAACTTATGAATTAATCATAGCTATTAATTTTCCCAAGAAATCATTTACATTATTCCAAACTGTAAAACTGAGTAATGTCTGTATTTAGACAGAGTTATTACCACATTTTGTTATCAACATACAAGAATTTCAACTTCTCCAGGTAAAAGGCAATTACTATTTGCATTTTCACTGTCAGGCTTAAAGCTGCTAGTTTTAAGCTCCTATTAAATTTCCAAGGTTTCTATTTTGCTGTAAGTCCCACAGTCCTTAGCAATTACTCCTAACAATAAAATTTTCTTGTCTCAGGACTATATACGCTAACCTCATTTTGTAAAGCACTCTGTAAACATATCAAGTGACACACACTTGGCACTACTATGAGTCTTATCCATGCTGACCACCTAAGAAAAGCATTAGGCTTAAAAATCAAAGGTAAAAATAACATAGGCAATTCACAACAACTTTTCAGAGTGTAAATAGCTCTTAAGTTTTCAAATTCACAAGCTGCTAGTGAAAAGCTTTAGTACAGCTTTAGCTTTACACCTTACTCACACTCTACACAATTGCAACATTACTTATGTTGTATACATTTTCAGTCCTCTATTCTTTCTTCACAGGTTTAGTGCCGCAGTAGAGCATTCTGAGCTGCTCAAGAAACAAGTCATTTGTGAAAAATGTAACCTTCTACACAGAACTTTCATCCATGTAAGAACATCTGGATATTGAGTCCTTTGCCACTGTAAAGCCATCCAACAACCTCAAATAGGTGTAGTATGATATAAGCAGCTCTTAAATATGCAACAGCTTTAGAAACACAGTGCTTCTAAATAATACATTCCACCTAGTGATATGTTATTTTCTATTACTATGTGACCCATGTAAAGTCAATTATTCTGAATGGACAACGCCAAGCTTTTAAATTAGGAGCGGCAAAGAAGGGACACTTAGTCATGCAACAGTTCAAAAAAAAAAAAAAATCCTAACACACAAGTTTACTTTTCTTTTTTTACACTGTTTTGTATTCATCCCACAATCTTTAAGCCTGAACCAGGCAGCTCAGCAAACTATCTGTAACAGTGTTAACACTGTAGACCTTATTGCCTCAGCTTAATTTAAGGGTTGTGTAAACTGACTGCTGTAAGGAAGAATTCTGAGTGATCAACTTGCAGCACGACATTTAAGGCACTCCCGTAACAGTTCTACTTCAATTCCATATATTTTAGTTATGCTAAATTACAACAAAGTGAAGACTGGCAAACATACAGCACTTACATAATTCAGTATGTACTCCAATACGTACAATAGTAGAATAAAAGATTAGAAGTTGTAATGTTGTTTAAACTGTTTATGAATCTACAATAGTACATTTTCCTAAGTAAATAGAAGTACCACTTAGATTAGTATAAACGAGCTCCAATGCAATTGTAAATGATTGTAACTACAAATGGAACCATGGTTAATATAAATCTGTGTTTAGAGAATGAATAGAGATAAAAATACAAAGTCATATTTAAATAATTTGTAATAATCTTTATCTAAAGCAAAAGAAAGCCTTGAAAAAGCAGTCTACTACACATATGGAAATAACTGTACTGTAACTGATATTAATTAGTAAACCACTGCTGCTTGCCTTATTATAAAATTACTGTAGTCCATATAGCTAAAACAGTTACAGAGAATAAAACCGTCCTGCAGGACTTACAGTTACACAGCACCAGCTTTACAATTTATTACTGCACCATTTCAGTCACTTGATAGACTTAACATTGCAACGTGGTTTGTGTCTTCCCCTTATTAATACTGTAGAAATCAAGATACACTACTTTGAGGAAAAAAATTAAAAGCAGCTGAAAAGCAAAGATAAACATGAAAAGGTTTTTGAGACAATCAACAGTAAAGAAAATGTGTTTATGCACCAGTATTTAGAAGAAGGAACAGCAAAAAGTGGAACAGGAAACTAGGAACTCCAGTACACTACCTAAGCTGAAAACCAAATCTAAGCACTGCAATTACCAGTCGGAAAATACAGTACAGCTGCAAAGAATATAGACAGTAACAGCACAGAATGATTTCTAGCTCCCAACACAGACACCAGCTAAATCACAGAACAGCCTCCCTGTAAAAGCTACAAAAGTTTAATTGGTTACAATGCATGACATCTGAGCTGAATGACCCTCCAGCCTCTCCCAGGATGGAATAATTCCCTTGCCCCCCAGATATCAGAAAAAAAGACCGCATCAAGACATACCGCTTGAAATGCCTCACAGAGACACACAGACTTTCTCTTTGGCCTGGAAAGTTCTGTCCAAATCTAATCATTGCCTTATCCAACTTCTGAACTACAGGGACATCAGAAATGAAGCCTGCTCACACACACATTAGGAGAGGAAGGGAAAAAACCCTGGCAAGAAGCTTGAAGCAAAATGAGAAGCAGAGAAAGCAAGAAACACATTTAAATTCTGTTTTAAAAACTTTTTTTGACATTTTCTTGATCCCACCTTTGATGCTGTGCTTCAGGCAGTCATAAAACAGATAGCATGAACAAGAATTAGAGGACAGAAAGGTTAACAGTGTCAGTCAACTAGCAGCAGAAATAGACTGACTCTTCTCCTCACAGTGTGTAATTATTAGAGCTCCTAAAATAATCTGCTTTGGAAGAGATACTGAAGTTAGAAATGCATCAGAACAACTAACATGACTCTTGAAATGTCACTTTTTACATTGAAAAAAACCCACCACCCAAATCCCAAAACACATTACCACAAATGAAGCCATTTATAAGTGACTATTTCTTCTTGATTACAAAGAAAGATCAGTGTAACTGAAACTTATTAAAAAACAGAGTTACTTACCTGGATAACCAATTCCTTTGGCGTTTGCATAGGGAACCCCAGAAGATCCAGGGCTATACACAGGATTCATGATTTCAGTAACTGAATTAGGGGGCAAAAAAAGAGAAAAAAGTATTTACTCAAGCATAGGGAAAGCTTGAAATATCAGCAACTAAAATGGAACTGGAAATGGGGGAAGCATACTGGAAGAAAATAAGTAACAGAGGAAAAAGCAGCAATTCCACTACTCATCAACATTAGAACTGTAGCTACAAACTGCAGAAGTTCCAAAGCATCAATCACTAGAGAATGTCTCAGGAATGAAACATTCCCTGTTGCGGAGCATACTTTCAAAATATTTCCGATATTGCTCCCCCATGGTGCACAAATTCATAACCCGCTGCAGGATTTCAAATGTGTTGGACTTCTCCCCCCATGTCACCTATCAGTCACTTGTCATCTATCTACCATCTATCAACCTTGGTTTCTTCCCATTTCTTTGATGAAGCAGCTGCCCAAGGGATGCAAATACTTATGGTCTATTGCTACTGGCGGTTCAAGCCTGGGATTCCAGTCCTTTACCAGCACTAAATTCATCCACTGTCAACAGCCCAAGTGTCACAGCACTAAGCAGCAAAAGACTTTCTGTGTTAGACAGCTAGCTCACACTTATTTGTTTACTTGCTGCTAAAGTCTTCAGAGACAGTCAGGTCCAGTCATTTCTGCATTACGTATTCACACACCAAAAAGGCACCTATAGGTAGCATCACTGGCAGGAATAAAAGCAAATTGCCAGTTTTAAAAAGGATCTTGTACATAAATGCCAAGAAAAATAAAATGGCATTGAAGATGTTTCTCAAATTTTTCTAGTATGCCTACATACTTCTAGGAATATAAATCACTGCAGCACAGCTCACAAGCAAGTCCATCATGTGCCTCTTACAAGAGTACCGTTCCCAACTACTTTTCTAATATTTTAGAAAAAAAACACCAAACATATTTTAACCCAAATACCTTCAACAATCTGATGTTCTGCATATATTTACAGATTCACCACTCTTCCTCCTGCAAGTGCCCATTTTTCACCACAAATAGCCTCCAACTGCAAGACAGGTCACACTGTGAAACCAGACTTTCTTGCTAACTGCTAATATCTGGTACTTGAGTCACTTCCTCTTCTACATCTTGAGATGCTGTCTTACTTAAACAAAGAGTGTATTAAGAAGTTTAACACAGCTTAACAAATTTTCTAAATAAAGTTTACGAAGCAAGAGAGAGTCAGAATTATGCATGCACTACTTAAGTTCCAGAATACATCATAGCAGGAATCAGTTAAGTTTATTACTATACCTGCACTGATAAACCCATGTTAAGTGACTGTATAAAGCATAAGTAGCTTGCTTAACACTAAAAAACTTGTAACACTAAAAAACATCTGTTTGCCAGGAGTTTTAGCAGCACCTAGAACACAACAGAAGTAAAAGAAACGTGCAAAATTAGGAAATCAGAAAGTAAATGCTGCCAGGAAGCTTATCATCAGGTTCACACAACAATGAAACTCAATGTAAGAGAATTACAAGATAGACCAGTTTCTTGGACTTCCCCCCCCTTAACAATAATACTAACTTAAACAGAATAGCTTTTGTTTTTTTTCCAGCTTCATACTTGATTATATATCAAGACAAGAGAATCCATTAAGAATGAGTTAAAAAACAGCCAACCTGCCATTTATCCGGTTTAGTATAAAGAAAGTTCCCCAGAGCAGCATGTTTTAAATCACCTGACCAAATCAAAAAAGCAGTTTGACACAAACCTCTTTGGAAATGTTCTACAGCAGATGTGTCATCTTCAAGTATAAGGCATTATATTCCACTGAAGCCCCGTGGAGTTTTAATAGCATTAACTCTGCTGTACCATAACTAACAGACATCTTTTGCTGGACTAGTATTTCACTTGGAAGAAGGAAGACTTCTTTTTTTCCCATACTTTCTTCTGTGTATCCTTCTTTCTAAGTAAGGAGGATACTTGAAAACTTTCAGTCTGTTGCCTTACTATCTCCCTGCATTTCCTTCTCATTTGCATCTCTACTCCTCTTTCAATGTTGGTTTTGTCACATTTTGCCTCTAAACTTAGAAAACCTGCAAGAGGGTCAAGCTTCACTTCAGTCTCAGCATTTCCAAGTTGTGGGGTAAAAGTCTCGAGGGAGGTGGATATACCCTTCCACTCAAGTCTAAGCAGCACTCTCCCACACCCCCATATTCCTAGAAATATGCTACTCCTCCCTGCAGTCTCTACAGCACTTAGGAGGAAAAAAGAGCCTGTAATGCTCTTGCCATTCTGAATGGCAATGACAAGAGAGAGGACTAGAAAACCAGCAAGAGCATTCTGCAAATATTTGGGTGAGAAATAAATTTTAAAAAGTTAGAAATATTAATAGTCAATGAATGCAGAATAACATAGGGACATACGTTCTGGGGGATGACTTAAACAGAAGCCACACAAAGCTGAAAAGGTACAGAAAATGAATAGAAAAGGTCAGACAACTCAGACTTGATCTCAAAGGAAGTGGAGATTAAGAGAAAGGAATTCCACTTAAGTAAGGGGAAAAACAACCTATGGCACTAGGTGCCTGCAAGCTGCCTCTTACTGGAAACAATGTCAACTTCCACTTCAAATACATCCATACCTTGAAATTTACGTGTCTCTACACATATTAATTCAGCTTTGGTTGAACAGGTATGTACTTTCACCACATCTGCCTTCACAGTCTAGCTTTCACCACTGAAATACAAGTGGAGATCCACCAGCTTACAAAGAGTGCTTACAGTTTTCCTAATGCAGACAAAACTTCAGATCACTTCTAATTAAAAATAATTATTTTCAGGTCTTTTCTGAAGGACCCAACATGTGTAAGTATAATTATATAGTATTACCCAGTGGTTGCAATCATCCCACTCTTACCGTAATTTTACTTGGAAGGATATCTGTTGCATTGAAATATGGAACCTTGCAGTCCACTTCCCTGTAATGCTTAAAGTCCACATCAAAAGCTAGGGAAACTAGGATAAAGTGAACCCAAAGAATCGTGGCTTTCAACCTTTTTGTTGGCATCCCCTCCAAAGCATTCTCATGTTAATGTATATGTAAATAAGTGCCTACTGTGCATCATCTGTATATAAATTACAGAGAGTCAACTGTATTACAGCCAACTAATTCTTTTAGTTGAAATGAAGGTAATCATACTTAAAGATGCTCCAATTAAAGACCACGCAATCATGCCTGGGAAGCGCAAATGCTTCACCCTCCATTCTTGCCAAAGCCAAACAATCAAACTCAGTTTTGATCAAGCCTGTTAAATCTCATCTTGACACAGATACCAGGACAATCATCCTCCTCCTAAATCCACATCTGAGGAAGCTGAGCACAAAGGCCAACCACTGCTAATGCTGAAGCTCTAGCACTCTGAATTAAATATGCTTTTGCACATAGCTTTTCCTGCTGCACTCAAAATGAGCACGTTTCTATGAAATTCTGCTTTATATATCATTTTATAGAGATACATGCAATAAAACCCCACAGATCAATGCAAATACTGTAAAACAAACCGCACATTCCTTTGTAACAGATATATTTTCTTACTATTTGTTTTCAAAGTTGTGCAGAAACACTATCAGAACAAGATCTACTGAATGCCACTTTGTGCTCGTTTTATGACAATTCTATCACAAGAGTTGGGGAAGAACCTCTCTCTAAGTACCTTGCCTAAAGCACACTATTGTGGTTCACTAATGAAACTAATGTTTTCATTCTTGGAACTTAGGCAGATTCACATTAAGTCATTACAGTATTTAACGTCTATCCATCCTGGAATACTTTTAGAATGCTGTTTGCTATGAAACTGTACAAATGACCCAGTTTCCACTTACATACAATTCCTTAACAATATTCATTACCATCTTAGTAATGTTCTACGTTTTACCCATTTGATTTCCAGTCAAAGCTTAACAGAAGTAAGATGCAATTCCTAAAAGTCTCGTAGCTTGTAATGTAAAAAAAAAAAATAATTTCCACTGCTAAGTAACAAAGAAAATAGTTCAAGATACTTCTGCTCTTCAAATCTGACAATGATTAAAGTCTCAGTTGCATTATGTTCTGCTAAGATTTCAGCCACCAAAATAGGCCATTTGATGCAAATCCTAGGCCAAGTAACAGACGTTTTTGTCACACTTACTTTAAAAAAAAGAGGGCTCATATCAGCAGGCGTTCAAGATTTCATGAAGTCTAAAACAACACTTGCCACACTGCATTGATATTTGCAGGTAGCGTATGCTTCATTTCTTCCATTCATCCAAGACCTCATAAAAGGTCACTGAATTTTACCAGGAAGCAAGTACTACTCCTGTTCAAAAGAGGGCATGGGTTTATGGTAGTCCATGACTGAAGCCAGCTGGAATCAATGCTTACACAGAACTGCCATGCTTCCGGGAAGCAATCCCACTCCCTGTGCTGTGACAGCACTGGCACTCTAACCCCTCAGTAAGTTACATCAGCTAAGTCAGTTGGCAGAATTCTGGGTTTTGCTAGAGTTTTTTGGGCAGCGGGTTGCTACGTTTTCTTCCTACCAAGTGTGAGAGAGCAGAAACATACCACCAAAAGGCTAAGACAGGACCAGTTCCAATGCAAGGAGGGGAGCAAGACTAGTCAGTGGCAGTACAGACCAAGGTTGTAGACCACAGCCTGGAAAAGGACAATTAACAACTTTGGGCAAAGCTCACACATAAAGTAAAATACAAAGCTGGAAACATCATTCACATACAAGTCTTCCTCCCCTGCTCAAGTTCGCAGATGTTCTTGTCAAAAAACAGAAAGAACAAGACACCTGCAATCACCCTTCTATGTTTTGTGTGGGTGCGATTTTTTTTTTAAGGCTATGAGGAATAGAGCAGTTTAGACTTTCTAATCCTTCCTAATGAATACAGTTCTTGTCTGTAAGCCTATTCTACTAACGGTTTGTTGTTATGTTTTTTTTTTTTAATAATAGCAGATTTTAAATACACATACAGTAACACCAATACTACTTGTACCCAGTATCAGTA